CACACACACACACACACACTTTCATTGCAATTTAACACTTGCTTTCCTCTTTTTTTATAAAAAAGAAAATTGAATATTCCAAGGAAAAACAATTATTAGATAACATGGATTAGGACATCATAAAAAACAAATGAATTCTTTCTTTCATTTTTAAGCATCATAACGTAGTATCTCAAAATTTTCTCCTCTATGTTAAAAAATACAAATCATTGTTAAGAAAGGTTACAAGGCAGACTAAAACCACGAAATATTACGATATTTTGAACTCAAATAATGAAACAAACGCAATGTAGAATAAGTAAAAAGTTCGACCAAGATAAAGATAGAAATGTCATCGATCCGGCAATTTATTTGTCCAACCCTTGCTTGCCAGTAACCTGGATTCTTCCAAAAAGCGTTTTGCCTTATCCTCATTAAGTTTTTTGGTACTCCAGGACGGCCCTCTTTTGTGTCTCACCTTAACATATTGTGGTTCCTCTGATACTACAGCATACCCTATGTATCGGTGGTCACTCAAGGTTTCTTCATCAAACACCATCCAGTCCGTAATGTCCTTAGCCAGTCTGGAAGTACTTCTTTTCAAGTCTAGTATAGATGAAGTATCTCCCCGTTGGAAGTGTTCTCATTCTCAGAGTTTAGAATGATGAGGTCGTTTCTTGCTACAAACTCTCATATGATAGCTCCTCTTCTGTCAGAGCACGTCTCCCCGCTTTCCGACGATTTAGCATTGTAATCACCTGCTATCAAAACCTCTCCTTTTGTTGTTTTCAGACTTGCCTCCAATTCGTTGATGTCTTTTTGAAATTTCTCTAATGTATCATTCGGAGAAAAGTAACAGCTATATTAATTCACCTTAACCCATACTTTGTCTTCTTATACTCATTAATACTTAGCTTCCTATTATGAATTATTATACACGCTCTTCTAGTGATATCTCAATACAACATATTCTCACAGTAAGGTTTGCACACTAGTAACACAATCCTCTCTGCAGCAGCCTGCTTACTCCTCCCCAGGTTTATCTGAAGGAGTCGAAGCATACTTGATATTGCTTTTCTTTTGAAACGCCGCTATAAAGGAGGCACATTTGTTACTTCCTAACAGATGATGATCCTCTGTTTTTGTCTTTACATAGAACACATTGGTCTCTGTTGGTACAGTTCTTAACAACATGTACGGTTCTACCACATCTGTACCATACTTTACTACAATCAGGACCTCTGCAATCTGTTGAAATATGTCAAAAAAAAAAAAAAAAAAAANACCAAACAACAACAACAACAACAACAACAACTACCTACAAAATTCAAGATCGACTTTTACCTCAGATAAAGTCAGTTCTAAAAAAATCAGCTCTTTAAAAAAGGTCATGTACATTTGTTTCAGAAAACAAATAGTAGTTTTTGTGAAACTTTAATTTGAAATTAATGATATATAATTATGGGTGCCCCCACCAACTATGGGAACCCAAGAAAAATTCTCAGAGTACAGAAATTGATTCAAAGGACATTTTTGATGTGGAGTTAACTGAATTTTGGCACATAATTTCATTGAGGGAAAAGGGTTAGGGTTTTATGTTAAATTTTCATAAAAAATAGGTATCTAATTCATCTTGTATTACAAAAGCTTTTTCTTCAAATAAAACACCAAGAAAATAGTTTTAAGTGAGGTACTCTCAGAACCTGCTCATGTTATAGATATCAAGCAAATAACGTGAAAAAATGGAAAGAGACAATGAAAAGGTCATCAAGACAATAATTTTTGTTAATAATAAATTATTATATTCATAAATTGATAGTCAACACAATTCCAAAAACACATCCAAATTATTACCAAAAATATGTTCTTCACTAGTCAATACAAAAATACATTAAGCCTAAGATTTGTTTCTTCAATTTTCAAAACACAATTACAGTTTTTAATTAAATTTTTGTAATACTTTATATCCTCAAGTATCTATTTTATACCATCCTCCAAGTATCCATAGCATATGTCCATTTTAGTATGAAATGTATGCCTGCAGCTTTCTCTTTATGCAATTGCATTTTGCTGAATAATTACTTATTGCATGTATGACTATTTTAATCTTCAGATGTGTCACATTTTCAAAAACCAATTTATCATCATGAAATTGATAGATTTATTTAGTCAAGAAACAGTAAAAACTGTATGTGACGTATGGGGGAGAAGATCATCTGCGCATGTTTTCTTGAGTTTCAGAATCCCTTCCCGCCATTTTAACTATAAATAGTTGACAGATGAGTAAAAGTATAAAGTAAATAAAAATAACTTAAAAAAAAGTGTGAGATTAGCAATATTTTCAAAAAATGGCACTTTTCTTTTTCTGAGTTACAAAAATCTTAATTGCATCGGTAAACGAATTGCAAGTATGATTTTTCTGCATTCCTAACAAAATAGTAACTTGCCCTTACATCTACTTCTACCAATATAAGCAAAAGGAGAGTTCAACAAAACGTGTGCATAGTGAGTCTACATTTATGTCCAGAAACAAAACAAGGGTCCATCTCAGCATTTGCTCAAAGGATCAGGGAAACGTGGACAAAAACCTGATCGAAATTGGGGTCATTGACTCAGAGCTCAAGTTTATTATTTCTTACAAATAGACTTAATAAGTCTATTTAAAAAATTTATACAATAAAATTTAAACTAATTGAAAATATATCACTGTTTTGTTAAAATAAACATTATTTTTCTTTTTGATAATCAATATAGTCTCTAATTGTGTAGACACAGTTATGCAGCAGAAAATATTTTACTTTTCACTTAAATTTGTGAACCGACTTCAATTGTTTAATGTCGTCTGGCAATGCATTGTAAAGTAACGTACTTGTATTACGTAAAGTAATGTATGTGGATTTCTAATAGTGAGCTGTTGATACTGACACTTGATGAACGTGATTTTTACGACATGAGTTGTAATAATAAATATCAGTATTACATGAAAATATGCTCCCACCATTAAGTAAGTCACTTTAGACAAATATTACAGATTGGTAAATATATAGGCCAAACTATTACCATATAATATATTTGGTAAGATTCTGAGCTCAATGAAGAGAAGTTTGCAGGGATCACATGGATGGCATTTGTTCATTATTCGAATAATTTTCTATCGCAATCTAAAGGTCTGAGTACTACATGATGAGATTCCCCAGAATATTATGCCATATCTCAGGCGGGAATGTACATTTGCAAGATACACGCATTGAGCTGCATGAAGGCTGACAGAATTTGAAAGAATTCTGAATGCATAACATAATGAACTTAATTTAGGGTTTAATTTTGTTATAAGTACATTCCATTTGAGGTTTGACTGAATTGAGAGACATTATCAATGATCAATAACATCAAAAGCTCTCGAATAATCTAAAAATAATCCAATGGGTCCTTCATTTTGGTCTATTAAGGATGCAACATCTTGAAGAAAAGAAAAAAATGTCAGTTTCCATAGATTTTGATTTTCTAAACCTGTGTTGTGGATCTGAAAACACTTTTGTTTTTCTTGAGAAAAGTTTCCATTTGCTTATAGAAAAGCCTCTCTAATATTGTTGAGAAACCTGACAAAAGAGAAATTGGTCGGTAATATTGAATTTCATTTTTGCACCTTTTTTAAAAAATTGGTTTAATTTTTCCTGTTTTGAAAATATATGGAGATATTCCTGTGTATAAACAAGCATTGAAAATATGAGTTAACGGGTGTATAAAGGCAGGAACACAAGTTTTCAATAAACAATTGTGAAATTCATCTAAACCAGATAAATATTTATTTTTCTGTTTACTGACTTCTTGTAAGATTTCGTTAGAAGAATTTTCGGAAATAAACATTGTGTAGAAAATTTTTTCATTATTTATTATGAAACCTATACTGAACGTTCATACTTTCTCAAAACATAAAATTACTTTACAAGTTTTACTACAATTCGCAATCTAAATTTTTCACGCATATTATTCTTTCCTTGCTAATTAGGTTTAGCTCACTTATTCCCCTTTTCTCTAATAATCTTGGACACATATCCATTTTCTATATCTCACAAACTAAAAAAAATGTTTTTACATAATGCCGTCACTGCCATAAATCCTCATGCTACCAAATCCAATACTGTTCCTCCTAAAGTGTTAGTTTTCACCTACCGTCTGTGTTAAAAAGTTCACATTCTTCAAATCGATGCACTCAAGGCACCCCTGCAACCATGCATCTAGGCCTCTCTTGTCTCATATCAACAATGTCCTTTAGTTTTTAATATGCTTTGTTTTCAATTTTTTTTATTGTACAAAATTTATTTAATCAATATACTATATTCATTTTCTGATGCCTTATAGATACTCTAAGTCTTAACGTCTATACTAACACACCTAGTATTACTTTAGTTTAGTAGTAGCAGAAATAATTTCTTATTCTGGAAGTGGTTGTCAATAAAAAATTGTAGTTACTTCAGTCTGACCCTTAGGAAAATTGTGTCATACTAGAGGAGCCCACACTATTCATTCAGTTTTTGTCATTTGTGTTTTGTCACCTATTAGGAACAGTGGAGATTGAACAAATCAACAGGGTGTAAGGATAATAATGCTAGTACTCACTAGTGTCTTTATGGCTTTGCATAATGTTTGTGTGTTGCTTGGGACAACATTACATTTTGTTGACATTGCACAGAAAACATTTTGCTTATTTGTACAAAGTAGAAATCAAGTAATGTGGGTGATTATGGGGCAGTTTCCGCATTTTAGGGGGGGGGGGGGAGGATTTATACTTTAAAACAAGAGCAAAGGAAATAATCTAAGATCAGATTCTTCAAAAATGACAACTATCTTTCTTGGAAATGTTATTATTGAAAATATTATATGCATATTATTTTCTAATACAACAGTTGTGTAAAATATTGATTTTTTATTGTGCACCTAGATTTTCCTCATTTTCAGCTACATGTTTTTCTATTTTATAAAGTTTCCCTACAGTCCCCTCAAAAATATACCATATTTTTTGGTAGGTAAAACAATAGATGAATCACAAAAAAATACCTAAAAAATACTAGGTTATCTTATATGACAAATACAAAAAAATAATTTAAAAATATTCTCATTCATCAACCGAGGCAAATGCTTCATGAAGTGCATCCTCTTTTTTGTTGTTGAGAAGTTTGTTATACGGGTTCTATTCTGTACTTATTGTCGATTTTCTCTTCATCATTAGTATCTCATATCACCCTAATGCCATCCAAAGCATTAGAAATCTCACACTTTGTGAAGGATTTGATCATTGTTTCCCCTTTCTGACCCATGATTTGATCACGAAATCACAGCATATCAAGTGAAGCAGCCCCAGCACGAGAATTCCTTAATCAGTGTAAATGTTTGTGAGAAGCCAGTGCTGCCAGTTGCAAGAAATGATGATCGCTGATCTAAACTAAATTCATAGGCCAGTGATAGTTCGGGGAGTTGTCTTATAGGTCAGATATACACTAATACTATAAAACCTTGATGAAAATATACTTTATGTGATCTGAAGGTCATCTTAACTGCAGAAATTTATGGTTAATAGAGTTTTACTGTATTAGGCCCTATAAATGAAGAAAAAGGAATTAATATGATTTGTACAAAATCAGTCTAATATATTTCATTCAGAAATTGTCAGTACAAAATTCTCTTATTTACAGTCACAACAACTGTGAAACATTAAAATCATGAATATGAATACAATGCAAATTAAATAAATGCAATGCATAGTAAAAGAAGAGTTATTAAAGTAAAGAAGTTAATAATGTATATAGCTTTTAAAAAAATACTGGGAAAAGGGAGGTAAAGTCATAAACTTGCATTTGAGGCAGCATAATTACACATTAATAGGAACAAACTAAATACAACTAAGCATCACATTTTTGAAATTGGTTGTTCCAACACATTCTTCATGTCCACCAAAGACCGATGCAAGTTCTGGTAGAATCTAGTTGCACTAGTCTCTCGACTTGCTTTAAACACTGAAATAGTGAAGCACAATCTGAAACAAATAATAATATAATAAAAGTAACAAATAAGGGTGATAAAGTAACAAATGCATAATATGAAGCAAAGTTACAAAACAACTTTGAATTTTGAAATTAATTTTTTGAAATTAATGAGAAATTAATAAGAGGCTAACTAGAGGCTTGAAGCACCAAAAGACAATTAAGGACTGTACTACTGCTGGGTACCACATTACCAAAATTCAAATTAAATTAACTTTTTTTTCTAATGTCATCACTGCTCAGATTTGGCCTAGGTCTAAAAACTATATACTTGTGGTTAAGCTGGAATGTATTGTGCTACATAAATATCTTTCATTAGAAATTTACAATAAATTTATACAGAACATTGGATTGCATTGTGCAATTAGCATCACCATGGTACACACTAATATGATTTTATGTAATCGTATGGGATTTTCATCAGATTGAGAAACATCTTATTCAATGAAATTAAAAATTTTAGTAACAGAGAATGCTTTACACTTTTAATAATTTAATTATATCAGCGATTTATATACATTAGTTCAGATTGAACTGTAATGTTTATGTATTGGGTGGAAGAAATATAAGCTAAAATTGTAACTGCTAAGATTACTGTTTTAATATATACGAGTCATTACACGTCAAATCGAACACTCGCAAAGCATCACAATTTTTTAGCGACTTGAATCTTTTTTATGAGTTGTAGGGTTCAAAACGTATTTTTCTTTTTTTTTTCTCTTCTAATCCCACCCTTTTCACAAATCTTACCAATTACTTTTTCTGAAGAATCATGCTAATGTTTAAAATTTTTAAACATGTGCAAAGCAAATTTAAAGAAAAGCTAATGTTTAATATTTTTTTTGCCAATTGCCATTTTCTGCAGAAAAATAGAATTATGCTTTCATTTAACTTAAAAAGATGCACTTTCATGTGATGTAAATATAATATTTGTAAACAAATTATTTAAGGAGTTAAAATATATTTTAATTTTTACAATGAAAGTTTTACATTAGGTCGACACTTCAATTAATTGTAAAATCATGTATTACTGCACTAATTTTGTATAGACCTGTCAAATTTCAAAGTGGGAGGCACATAATTTACATTTAAAAAAAAATATGTTGTTTAGAGGTGCACATAGGCAGCCCGCTGCTGGCCAAACTTGCTGGTCAATGACAACGCATCATGAAGTCCAACATAAAGCAACCATGAGGCTTATATCATGTTATGAATCACAGAAACACACATATGGCCTCAAATGAAATACTTCTGAAGAAATGTGACTATTAAGTTCATTTATAAACAACTGACACTGCTAGGGCCTGCGTGAAACAGAGCAGCCTTCTTTCTCATATACTACTTTCTGAATTAGTTGTCTAAAAAGAGGAATCCACGAAATGCACATTGTTCTGTGAAGATAGTAACCACAGATAGCACTTTCTTAATACAAAAATGTATAATTGCAGAAAAGGTGTACATTTAGGTTTGTACAACCATCATTCTTGAAAAGTTGAATATTTACTGTTTGCCATCAAAAGTTATATTATTGGAAAAACTAGTTTTAAAAGTTCCTTCTCGACATGACTCGAGTAATGTTTTTTCAAGACAATTGGAAAGAAACAGTCATAAATTATGAAAATCCAAAACTCATTTTAGTTTTCTTCAAATCTTCCTGAAATTTTTATTTCAATACATATATTGGAAAGAAAAGAAGTCTTGAAAAGAGGAATTTTAAAAAAAGACTGGGAGAAGAATAACGCTTTACAAATGAACATTTCTTTGTTCCTCTTTTCTTACCTGTCATTCATGAGATTGTAGAAACATCCATAACCATTCAGGCACATAGGGCTAACACCACCTCCAATTGGTGTGTAACCCAAAAGACTAGTTGAAAGTATAAAATTACCTCCACCTCCACTGAAAGAACAAAATAACATTTCATTAAAATTTTAAACATTAATTATAATAAAATCTCCACGATATGATTGATGTGCCATGATTACAGGCTACTGCAATTCATTAACAAATACAAACACAGGCTGATTAAATCTCATGATTATGCTACTAGTAAATGAAAATTTACTAGCAGTATTGATGGAGACCAACAATTGTTTATTGTCTTCTGTATGTGACTAAGACGCCTTGCTATGTAATCTTTTTAAGTTAGTTATTAAAACGTTTATATTCTTTCACTAAATATTACTAATTCCTCCACTGCTATTCTCTACATTTTTGACTGTTAGTTAACTTTTTAACACGAAGAGCATGTAATGAATTCTGCTAAAGGGGCATGGTGTTCTATCCCGAGACCTGGCAGGAAATTAAAAATGATCAAAACTGCATGTTTTTAACTAACTAATGCTAGTTCAAAGCTAAGAGTATTCATCTGTTTTGTGGTCCCTTAATAAGGTATGTTTAATTAAAGCTCTTGAATCATTTCAGAGATGCTCTGCAAAGGTTCTAGAGTCCAAGTCAGCTGGTAGAGGAATTGATCGTCAATACCTATACACAAAGTTTAATCTCTAACAACTAGATAGAAGGAGACATATCTTCCAAATTATTTTTCATCTTACTAAAATTGTACAAGACATACCTAATACAATCTCCAATTTTATTGTCACAAGTAAAATTATTAGTGCCTCAATGTAATGCTTATACATCAAGATTATTCTTTAAATCTGTTTCAAACAACAAACAAGCAAAGGGACAATTTGTTTCATACAATGGAATTAACAAATGGTTTTATTAACAAAAGCAAAGCAAATATAGATGGACTTATTGATTCCATTACTTCTTTAATTACTAATACTTAACTAACGTACTACATTGTTAAGTATGTAAATGCAATTTTTTAATAATATTGCTTACAAAATAGTCCTTTTCTTGGGGTTACTTTTATCGTGAAAAATTTATAAAAATTTGTATTCCGCTGTGGTGAATAATAATATCCATTAGGATATTCATAAGTGCACAAATTAATGAGGTGGACATGCTCATATAACTTTAACATGAGTCGCCACTGAGTATAAAGATGAAACAAATAATTTGTGACGTACAATACAAACAAAGCACAAGTTATCATGATACAATTTTTTTACCTTTTGAGATAAGCTGGTTGAGAGTAAAAATCAGGTATAGGTAGTCCCTCTTCCACAGCCAAGCAGTAGAGGCCAAAGAGATGACGATCACATCCGGTATTGCCTTTGGCTTCAGTCATGAGCTGATCATGCCTTTGGATGGCTCTTTTCAGCAGTGCCTTCTTGTCTGCTGCCTGCAATTGTACTTCATATTAAACATTAAACAACTTAATAGAACTTGGAAATTATCAGGGTTTGTTAAAATTTTGGATATAATTTGCTGAATCTGTCTACATTTCTCAATAAATTACACAATTAAAATAATAATAATAATTATTATAATTATTATTATGCATAAATTTCATAAACACAGAGGTTACAAAATCTATGGTACCAAAACTGTGTATAGTAGAGTTTAAGATCTGAGCAACCTCATCCTGAATGCAACGTACTGATAGTGTGTATTAGTATTTCTTGATTATAACGAATAATTATGAAAAATGGTATCAAATTCATGAAGTTTATAAACAAAATGCGAGTTATTTTCATATATATTTTTTTCCTCTCTTGCTGTCTGGGCTTCACAGCTCATCAGAAAAATGTATAACAACATCCTAATAGACTTTCACCTTCCTGAGATATCCACCATACAGATTCACAAGTTTCATAAATATTATTCTATAATAAGTTGTACAAATATTCTTTTGAAAATACGACACAAACTACAATAAATCAATGAACACTTATGTACTCACTGATCGATGCGCATCCAACATTGCCGTCACCCAGTCTACAACCTCCATAGTGCACGTGCGTAGAGTCTCTGTGCGACCATTGTAGAAAGCACGGGTGGTGGCAGTCTCATATGTAGCAGCAGGTCTGAGTGACATGAAAGAGAGAAACCTTAAGATTCTTGTCAAAATATGAAAAGAGCTTCTACTCCAAACATGACTGGCTACATCACTGTTCACTTAAGCTTTCCTAGAACAAAGGGTCTGCATGTAACATGAATGTTCATGGCATGGCTGATTGAAGTTTGATTCTATAATTCAGCTAATAAAAAAGGGAGAGAAAGAAGTCTGTATTACTGGCAAGGATCAGGAAATTAGATCTGCTCTTCAACCTACCATCAACCTTCACTTAAATGATTATATTATTTTAAATATTCTGCAACAAAGATGAGGACAGGCAGAACTTTTCATTCACTTCTGGGAAAGTAAAATATGGACCTCAATTAGGATGTCAGCTGAAGGCTGGGCATGTTGTAATAATCGAAAACTCACAATAAATAACTAATAGTAAAAGTGTAACATTAAACAGCAACAATAAAAAAAAACATTCAATTACTAAATATTAGTCCCAAATTTACTCAATTGTTATAAAACATGTGTTCTGATATTTGTTTTTATTCAAGACCATGTATGAGTAACATTGGCTTCAACATTGGGCATTTAAGCCCCCGGGTTTGCAAAACATGCAAAATAGGAACTACTTTCC